TTGTAATGTCTTCAAAAATAAAGAATCAGACAAGCTAGTAGTCTATTTTAATTCTCTATGATATTAAATTGAAAATGATATAATTATGATATTATAATTTTATAATCATAATTTATTATTAAAATGATTAATTTTTTATTTAATAATTTATTTATAATATTATATTATATTATATTTATTTAATAACATTTTATAATTATAAATTTATAATTATATGTAATATCATAAGTATATTATTACCACAAAACAAATTAAAAAAGATAGGAGAAAGGATTAAAAATATCTAAATTTCGCTAAAAAGGAGAAGACTTTGTCTCATTGCTAACTATTTTTGAATTGTGTACAACGTTATTATCACATTTTAGAGTGTTAATGTTACATTAATGAAATAATTTTAACTCTTTTATTCATAAATAAATGAAAAAAAATGGTGTGAGTAGTGTCTTCAAAAACTCATGAATTAAAGAAATACGTATAAAAAGAAAAAGTACAATTTTTTTCCCTGGTATAAGAAAATGTACAACATTTTAGAATGAAATTGATACTTTAAAATCTGACAATAATTCTACCAATGTATTATAGGTTATTCTTTGTTCCAATCAAAATCAAGCCCACTTCAGCAACCACTTTTTCTGGGACGAAATTGGGTCCATTTTGGAGAATAACAATAGCGGGTGGTGCTTCTATTTTGCCCCAGACCCAGTTTGTGTTTGTTTTAAAATGAAATTAATCCTCCAAAGGACTCCTTTTTTTTTTTTTTTTGTTTGTTTGGCTAAAAGCTAAATTGAAGAATTTAAGTTCAAAATTTTACACTGAAAAAAAAAAAAAAAAATCTTCAATACAACAGATATGTTAGATAACGGATCAACAATATCCTTATTCACTAATGTGAGATTTCAACAACTGATCTCCACTTACTATTTCATACTCACTAAATTGTAATAAATTAATTTTTTTAATTATAATAAACTGAATAATCTTTTTTTTTTTTTTACTGTAATTAGTTTCTCTTTGGCTTTATATTTGCTTCTTGCTTTCTTTATCTTTTTTGTCTTTTTATTTTTCCCGTGAGAAAGATCCAAATGAAATCTAGTAGTATATGGTTGCTTTTGCCTATGCTGATCCAAAGATGGAAGCCCTTGACAATACCCATGTCACATTTTGATAATATTTTTATCAATATCGAACACTGAGGGACCACAACCATATATAACTTTACTTCTTCATAAATGATCACAAGAATCCTAATTTCTAATTCCCAGCTTACAATAGAAGAAGAACCGTGGCCCGTGCCGTCACGATTGTCCAAATGCATAGCTCCTATAACTTCAATTGAACATGGGGTCATGCCTATCAAGAGGGGTACAAACAACCTAAGTCCTAAAAGTCCTTGCATTAATATGGTAGTGTGCACGTCCCCATTATAAAAGGGACATTCAACTGATCATTTGTTAGGAGACATTCAATGCTTCATAAATAGTTTAGCATGAGGAATTGTTTTGTTGGATAATTAACTAATATTTGGGGGAGGTACGCGCATAAAAAAGGGATAATAATCATAATAAGAAATTCCGTGAGACAAGTGAGTGGGATTTATGTGGATGCATAGAATTTAGCCAGGTTAGTACATTACGTCTCAAATTTCAGCCATCGCCAACTAGCTAGTTAAGTTCCAAAGAAAAAATGGCACTATTACAGCTCCAATTTTTGACTAAGAAATTTCACAAAATTCATCCATTTGCAACTTCATATGGAAGATAAAATCAACAAATTATAAAGATGAAATAGAAAAATAAAAATTAAAACATATTTATATTTCAAATGTTAATTTAAAAAGTTATTTCAATACCCTTAATAAATTTTAATATCTCAATTGCCAAAAGAAATGTTAATGTTAATTGTGAGGTTATTTCAATATATATTTTTTATTTTGTAATTCTTTTATCATATACAACTCAATAAATGTAAATATATTAATTTTTATAAATTAATTAGTTGATACACTAAATATCTTAATTAGTATTAAAATTTGTATAACAATAATATGATGTTAATATTCCCTTTCTCACTCTAAACTTTTGGTTTTTAGAACTAAGGAAGAGAGAATAAGGATAAGGAAAATTAACCTCTAATAATGTGAGTAAAGATTTATACTTGAATCACACGTAATGAGTATAAATTTATACCATGACTATTTAAATCACACATAATGGTTTTTCACTCTAGATTAAATTGTAACCAAATTGAACTTTTCGAGCCCAATAATTCATCCTAATACTTTAGTACTTGGGTGTAATTAATGTGAAATTCGATTCTGACAACACTTTGAAAAAATATCCCCTTCCCCAAATTCCCCAATATTCAAAAAAAAAAAAAAATGTAGCCATTACAAAAAATAAATAAATGTAAATGTAAAGAGGAAACATTCGTGAGACAACAAAATTTATATTTGTCAGGACGTATTTCCTGTGTTGTACCAATTTTTTTCTTTTCCTCCAATGAATAGTTTAGACTCATTGTCAGATTACCTCAGAAAGGAGGGAAAGTTCTGCCTAAGCCATTGACATTTGTAAAAAACCCAACCAAGTCCTGCCGGTAAGGCAAATACGACCTCCTCCGACCGCTTTCCTTGGACGCCCTGTTTCTCACGTAGAAAACCTCATGCGCCGATGCTTTCCCCCCTTGTTTCACCTTCACCTGGCTTGATCCCTGCTTCTCCGTTTTCTTGTCTTCTTGCTTCTTCGTCACAGAATTTTGTGAATGATTCAAAAACACCAAGGACGAGTCCTTACTGTCGCTATTGCTCCTCCGTAGCAAATCTCGCAACCGCGGCCACCGTTTGGAGAACGATCTCGTCGACTTACTCTTCTTGCACCTGCTCGGCGACGATTCGACTTCTCTCTTCGGTGTCCACAAGCAGTACGTTCTCGATATCACTTCTTCTTCCTCATCCTCCTCCGATGAGGACGACGACGGAGGATCCCGGTCCTCCATAAAAAGATTCCTCAACGGAATCAACACAGACGACGCGACGTCTCCACCTTCACGAGATTCACGCTCACGATCTTGATTTTGCTCGTCAACATCTGACAAAAAATCGCGATTGAAGATCGGAAACGATTCAAACGAAGACGACGCACCGTGATCCACGCGAACAGAAACAAACTCGAAATCATCGCCATTTCCTCCATCCAACTCATCCTCCAACGGCAATTTCGAGGAGGAAACTTCCGGAAAATCGCTGCTGTCAAACTCTAGCCTGACTCTGTTCGCGACATCGACGAGTTTCCCGGAGGAGTAGCAGTTGAAGCTGAGGCAAAACGAGGGCGGAGAACTCTGATCCTCCAACGTCTGAATAGCCTTGTCTTCTTCCATTTGAACCGGGACAGGATTCTGTTGATATTTCTGACGTTCGGCGTTTTATGAATAAGAGTGCAGAAGAGGGATCTATATATACGAGAGGCGGCGGAAGCTGAAAAAGAAGTGCGTAAATTGAATAAAATAATAGTGAAAAATCGTGGGATGCCCCCACCTTTTCCTATTCTGTTAAAACGTACTCCTACTTTTACTTTCTCACCTGTTGCACCCCGCTTCGATTCACACGTGTGAGTTTGTTTGGTAAGCATTTGCGTCATGAATTGATGAACCATGAGTTAGCCGCCAATAGGCTCTCTCCTTAAATTTTATTTATGTTATTTATTTTTAAGAACTTATGCACAAATAAATTTTTGAGTTGTTTGAATCGGTCTTTTTTGGGTTCAGTGGTTCGTACTTAAACTTTAAGTGATTAAATATAGTTAGTTAGAAGTTTCATTTTTAACAACAACTTGAAAAAACATCTCCTATCTTTTAAATTTTCTAATGTTCAAAAAAACAAAA